CCCGACCACACGTTCGACAGAATCCAAGTAGATCCCCCCCCCCCCCACCCACACACACACACCCACCTTCCCTTCGCCCCGCCCCTCATCCCTCAAGGCCCGTGCCGCGGAGCGCAGCGCGCACAGCACGTCCGGGCCATGGGACTCTGTGGCCGCGGCCTCGCCCAGGCGCGCGGCCTCGGCGTCGGAGCCAAAGTGCTTGAGCGAGGCCACCCGGTGATACAGCCACTCCGCCAGGCTCAGGCTCTGCGCCTGGTCCGCGCCCGCCCAGCGCTTGACCGCGGAGATGACGGCGGGGAGGCAGGCGCGCAGGCCGCCCTGGCACTCTGCAATCAGGTCCACTGCTACCAGGTAATTGACCACCTCGCTGGTGCCTGGGTTGAAGCAGGTGAAGGAGAGGGAAGGTGGGGGCCTGTGAGGGAGTCTAGCTTCAAAGGGGCACAAGCAACAGCGAGGCCTGCTGCTCTCAGATGCCAAAGGAGACAGGAGGCGTGCTCAGGTCGACGGTATGCATGGAGATCATAGATAAAGCTGCCCTGTCACTGTTGGATTGCAACACAAGCTCACAACTCTTGCCTCCATGCACCCACCCTTTGGGAGCCCCAGGGCTTGGCCCAGGCGAGGGAGGAGGGTCGGATCGCTGGCCATCAATGCAGTGGAGGCCAGGGGGTTTGCAGAGCCCTCGCTGCCATCCAGAGGCAGGAGTCCCGCGGTGCAGCGCAGGCAATACACACCACAACAAGCCGCCGCGAGCTGCAAGGGACAAGGAACGATTGAGTTTGGCAATTGTATACTGGTCGAGATACAAGTGCATGTAATTGCTTGGGACGAATGGTCTCTCAGCAGATCCCCCTGTGCGAGCATGGAGAGCATCGCCGAAAGGTAACACACCCTGGAGCTGCCAAGCTGGTCCAGGGCCAGCGCGGCGTCGGCGAGCCCCGCTGCTACCGTCGCTGCCGAGGCAGCCTCGCCGGCCCCATGCCAAAGACCGGCGTCGGCTGGATTCTCCAGAGTCCTGCCAGCCGAATCCAGCCAGCCCGGTCTGCAGTGGAGGAGGGTAGAGCCAGAGCCTCATGAGCGATGTGCAGACACCTCCCGAGCTACTGATACAGCGCTGCATGGCAGCCCAAGGGTGCTGGGATTCAAAGGAGCACTTACCCAGGAACTATGGCCTCCAGCTGCAGGGCAGCTTCCTGGAGCCGTCGACATGCAGTTCCTTCAATGCCCAGACTGCGAGAAGGTAATAATATGAAAGCTTGAATTGTCTCTGTGTGCTGGTTCACCACGTCATGACTCAATCAAGCAGATGCACCGCCCCGCATGGGCTCCCCCAAGCTACCTTTCAGACACCACAAAGGTCTTGGAGCTGAGGGGGTGTCCCGCACTCGGCGGCACCAATGTGAACCGCTTCAGGAAGACAGAGGCCTTGGTGAGGCTGGGTCGACGGGGGCTGGGATCCCTTCGCCTCCATCGCTGCAGAGCAGCGAAGGCTGCTGCACCCCCTGCCAGCCCAACACACAGCCAAACGGGCACAACAGGGCCACGGCGGACCTCTGGCTCTGCCGTGAGAACCAGTTTCTTGGCATCTTTACGATACCCTTTCAAAACTGGGCCTGTGACTGGAGTGGGCTCTGGCGATTCATCGGGGTCCGATCCCAGGATCGTCGCCTCCTCCACCTCCTCGTCAGAGAGGCTGTCCTCCCGCGACATGGGACTCTGCGCCTCTACAGGGCGAGTGCCCACTTCCTTGCTGAGATACAGCGCATACACTCTACTCCACGCCCCATGGCCGGCCCATGCGGTGAAGGCATGGCCAGACATGGCCGGATAGGTTCTGGAGTGTCTCCGTTGCCGCCACGTCAGCGGGCGCGAGTTCCCGGCTTCAAACTCACAGGCTCGACACGGCCGCTGAGAGACTTCGGTCCCTCACCAAGCTCGGCAGCGTGCGGTGATCCGTTTACCTGGCATTGCTGGCGGTGCATTCGTGCTGGGGTCTTGCACCTTCACCCCTCACCGGCCTCCCGTTCCCCGGCGGGCACGACGCCCCGACACCGCGCCCGGATGCCAGGCGCCCTCTGATCCTGCGGCCCTGGTCCGAAGGCCATGGAGGGTCTCGTCGCCTGCCTGAACTCGCTTCTGTCCCCAGACCCGCAGGCGCGGAGGGGGGGTGAGAATGCGCTGGCCCAGGGCAGTCAGCAGCCTGGGTTGGGCGTCGCCCTGCTGGAGGTGTCCCAGAACCCCTCCCTGCCCACGGGCCTGCGCCAGCTGGCGGCCGTGATCCTGAAGAAGCACCTGAAGGAGCACTGGACCTTCGAGTCCGGGGCCTTCCGCGAGCCGCCCATCGGGGAGGAGGAAAAGGCGGCGCTGCGGGCACGCCTGCCCCGCGGCCTGGCCGATCCCGAGCGCAAGCTGCGCACCGCGGCCGGCATGGCGGTGGCGGCGGTGGCGCGCTGGGACTGCCCCCAGGACTGGCCAGAGCTCATGCCGGGCCTGCTCAGCGTGGTGGCCCAGAAGCCATCGCCAGAGCACGGTGAGGGGGGGTTGCTGGGAGTGGGGCATGTGTGTGCCGCAGGTGTGCCAATGGTGCTTCCATGAGGAGTGCAAGGGCCAACAGCTGTGCTCCAGGAGGTGAGGGGCGGGAGGTCCCAGTGCTGTCACTGGGCCTCCACTGACTGTTTCTTGAGTGACCTTGCCGCAGTGGACGGCACCATCCGGTGCATCGCCATGTTTGTGGATGAGCTTGGCGAGGATCAGATCCTGGAGGTGCGCTGTGGTGCTGATGAGGTCGAGGAAAGAACGGATGGAGATGGGGAGATCGAGCCGGCCACCATACCTCGAGCTGAACAGCGCCGTGCACTCCCTCTTCGCTACAGCCGGCTGGTTTCTTTGTCCTCGGTGTGGCTGTGTCTCGCATGCATGACCTGACTCCCCAGAATCCCATCCAGCCAAGAGCCTGCGCCACACTCTGACACTCACCCAGATGGCCCCCGGCCTGCTGCACGAGATGGCCCCCCTGCTGAGCCCGGGGTCCGGCGCCGACGCCGCCCTGGTCCGCCGCGTGCTCAGCATCCTGCGCAGCGTGGTGGGCGCCATGCAAAGCGTGACGGGGACGCATGCCGCCGGGGTCAAGGCCCTGCTCACCGAGGTCCTGGCCGAGTGGGCGCCGCTCCTGGCCGCGGTCCTTGCCCCGCGCGAGGTGGGGTGTCACCCGGGGTCCGGCCCGGACTTGGAGGGGTTGGAGGAGTGGGGCACGGGGGATGGGATTCGGCTTCAGGTCTTGCACACCGTAGAGCAGGCGCTGAAGCCCTGTATTGAGAGGCTTTGGCTGCCCACGCTCTTCCTCCCCAATCCCCTCCTCTCCCTACTCCTCAACCCCGACCCCCTTCCCAATCAATACATCCCACCCCCAGCAGGTGCCCGAGCTGTGGGCGGCGCAGCGCGAGGCCCTGGGCATCCTCACGGTCCTGGTTTCCTCCTTCGGCCGCCTGTCCGCGCCCGTGCTCACGCCCGTGCTGGGCACGGTGTGGCATCGCTTCTCCGCCGGCCTGCCGCAGTACGTGGCGGCCGTGGTGGAGGGCGAGGCCGACGCGGGGTTCGGCGGCCCAGCCCCCGCCGACGGTGCCGAGGCGGAGGACGGCGAGCGGGCGGTGGGGCTGGAGGGACTGCTGGCGCAGACCATGGAGCTCATCCTGTGCGTGGTTGGGAACGCGCGGTTCCGGGGCCTCATCGCGCCGCACCTGCCCCAGCTGCTGGGCCTGGCGGTGGGGTACGCGCAGATGACGGCGGAGCAGGAGGAGCGGTGGACGGACTGCCCCAACCAGTACGTGGCAGACGAGGAGGACGACATGAGCTCGCTGAGGTGGGCTTTGGTCTGTTGGGTGCGAGGAAGGCGCCGGCAGCGGGTGGAGGGAGGGTCTGAAAGGTGGGGTTCATCGTTAATGGTGGGCGCCCGGCCTTGGAGTGACGTCCTTGGGCAGGCCGCCAGCTGCCCTGCTGGATCCTCTTTTGCCTCTCATCCCCATCAAACCACTACTCCCTCACCCCCACACCCACTCACCCCCACACCCACTCACCCCCACACCCACTCACCCCCACACCCACTCACTACCGCACAAAATGCAACAGGGCCAGCTGCGAGATGCTGGTGGACGAGGTGTTCCTGGCCTTTGAGGAGGCAGCCGCCCCGGCGCTCAGCCGAGCGGTGGGCGAGGCGCTGGCGCGCTCCGGCACTGCCCGGGCGTCGGGCCGTCCCGGCTGGTGGCGCGAGCGCGAGGCGGCCCTGCTCCTGGTGGGCAGCGCGGCCGACACGCTGCTGGGCCTAGGGCCCCGCGCCTTTGACCTCGCCGGCCTCCTCTCCGGCTCGGTGGTCGAGGACCTGGCGCCCGGCTCGCCGCCCTTTCTACGCGGCCGTGCACTCTGGCTGGCCGGCCGGCTGGCGGCGGCCGCGCCGCGCGCCGCGCGCCCAGTGCTGCTCTGCGCCGCGGCCGCGGGGCTGGAGGACCCGGGCGCGCCCGTGCGCGCCGGCGCCTGCCGCGCGCTGGCGCAGCTCTGCGCGCGCGTGGCGCCGGGTGAGGCTGCGGATGCGGCCGAGGCCGGCTTCCGCGGCCTGGCGGCCCTGCTCGCCGCCGCCAGCGCGCAGTCTGGGGACGAGGATTCGACGCACTTGGCGCTGGGCGCGGCGGCGGCGCTGGCGCGCGCCGCGCCGGCGGCCGCGGCGGCCTGGGAGCCCGCGCTGGCGCCCGCGCTGCTTGCCGCCTGGGAGCGCGGCGTGGGCGACCCGCTGCTGGCGCCCGACGCGCTGGAGGCGCTGGCGGCGCTGGCCGCCGTCCCCGCCGCGCTGCCGGCGCTGCAGCGCCGCGCGCTGCCCACGCTGGGCGCGCTGCTGCGCGACCCCGGCGCGCACCCAGCCCTGGTCCTGGACGGCGCGCTGGACCTGGTAGCCCTGCTCCTGCGGCCCTCGGGCGAGGCGGCCGCGCGCGAGGTGCACGCCACGCTGTCCCCCCCGGTCCTGGCCCTCGCCCTGCGCCACGATGATGCCGAGGTCTTGGCCTCCGCCTGCCAGTACTTCAGGTGTGAAGGGATGGGGAGTTGTTGAAGGGTGTCCCTCGCGAGCGTGGGCTGGCACAGGACCTCGTGTGAGATCTGTGTGGCAGAAGCTGTCGTGAGCCAGTGGGGCTGGGCCCGCCCTGAGGCAACTCGGGAACCGAGGGTGCCAGGAGGGACTGCGCATGCAGTCACTTGGGCACGGCACCGCATCCCTCTCGATCATTTGTGCTCGCAGGCTGCTGGCTATGAACAGTCACCCGCTCCTTCCTCTCTGACACATAGTACCCCCCATCCACCTGCAGGGCGCTGCTACAGGTGGGGGGGGGAGCCGCGCTGAGCTGGCAGGCGGAGGGCCTGGAGGGCAGCCTCGCCCCGCACCTCGCGGAGGCGCTGGTGCGCCTGCTCGACCCCGAGCTGGAGGAGCGGGCGGCGGCGGGCGTGGGCCCTCTCATACTGGAGCTGCTGCGCTGCGCGGAGGCCGAGCTGGCGCCGCACCTGCCGCGCCTGCTGGCGGCGCTGGGCGGGCGCCTGGTCCGGGCCGAGACCTCGCTGCTGGTCCAGGGCCTGGTCACCGTGCTGGCCACCCTGGTGCACACAAGGGCCGACAGCCTGCTGGCCTGCCTGGCCGGCACCACCCTCGGTGGGTGCATGGATAGTTTGGGAAGGTGCACAGTGGTGGCCCATGCGAGGCCCCTGCAAGACGACCAAGCAGCATACTCGCTCTGACACCGATCGCCTCGTCGAGGCCAAACTTGCACTCCCCTCGGTCCCAACATACCACCACACACAGCGATGTCCCACATCCCACATACAGGCAGCGGGCAGCCGGCTTTACATGCCTGCCTGCAGAAGTGGGTGGGGCGCCAGATCGAGATGCGCACGCCCTACGACATCCGCCTGACCACCACCGCGCTGGGGGCGCTGCTGCTGCGCCCCGGCGCCGACCTGGACGCCGTCGCCGTGCGTGGACGGCGGCTGGACGTGGAGGGCGGCATCCTGACCCGCGCCCGGGCGGCGCAGCGCGCAGAGCGCTGGTCCTCGGTTCCCCTGCGGGCCAAGATCGTGCAGCTGCTGGTGGATGCCCACATCGAGGCCACCGCCCAGGATCTGCACCGCGGGGGGGCCACCGACGACGACGACGACGACGAGGAGTGGGAGGAGGGGTCCGGGTCGGGGTCTGATGATGCCGGAGGCCGGCCATACAACGGTGCGGCCCAGGTGTTTGGTAGGGGAGGAAAGGGGGGCTTGCGCATGCTGGATTGAATTCAAAGGTGCTGTTGCGGATCCACACAGCCGCTCGCTGTGAGACAGGGAGCCTTGCTGCGGCCTCAGATCCATGACAGTCTGCAAACCTCCCATGGATCTTTCTCGTGCCGGACCTTTATGCCAGTCTCCCACATCGCCCCTCCCCCCCAATCCCTGCTCACCAACCCACCTCTTTCCCATCAGGCCTGGAGGACCTGCTGGATCTGGAGGGGGCGGACGACTTTGGCGAGGGGCAGCTGGATGCGGTGGAGGCGGAGCGGAGGAGGAAGGACCCCCTCTCCCAGCTGGACCTGCCGGCACACATCCGTGGGGTGCTGGGGCAGTACGCCGCAGCCTCCCCCGACGGCCTGCGGGCGGCCGCCGCAGAGATGTCGCCCATGCAGCAGCAGACCCTTCAACAGATACTGATGTAGAGTGGGACCTGGCCCCTGTGACTGTATGCTATATGTGTGACCGCGTGTTTTGAGCGTGACAGGCTCTGACCCAGGGATATTTGTCGGTGCCGGAGGCGATGCAGTTGCGCGCGCCGGATCGGCCCACAGCAGGAACATTTCGACACGCGGACGTCAATGTTGTGCAGCTTCTCCAGGAACCCTGTTCCCCTACCACCTCTGCTGCATATCGATGATCTATGCTGTTAACACCTCGAACATCGTTCCTCCTGATTGTATCAGGCGTGGTGGCCTGTGCGAATGAGGTGATACTCATGCTCGATTCCCTCTCGTAGCCGAGCCATGACCCAGATGTCATCGAGCGCGCTGCATGCGTCAGGCATTTGTGTGTTAGCGCATCGGCCATCAAGGCTAGACCCTGGCGCGCCCATCAGAGGCCTTGCTGGCTCTCGCTGCAGGGTGAGTCCAGCCGGCTGGACTGCCCCCTGCCTGCGATGATGGTTTGGACAGGACTGTCATTCTACGTAGCAAGACAGTGCACCTACAAGCCGGATTTTTGTCCCCACTTTGCAGCCCAATGCCAGACGGGCTGGCGTGCTTTTTGCTGCGCTGTCAGGTAGGATTGTCAGACTAGAGAGTGTGCCATGTACCTAGATCTCCTCCCACCTGAAGTCTAAAGTTATAACCACGCCTCAGCGACACAGTATTTACACCTGACTCTGCACCACGCCCCACCCCGCCTCAAACTTTTATGCAGACACAGACTTTCTGCACGCCCTGGACACTGCACATCTGGCCGTCTCCCAGCGAGGGACGAGCCAGCCCCACCCCAATGCTGCCTGTCGCCTAGTGTCACCAGACGGCCGGCTCCTGTCCCAGGCAGTCCTCCCCGCCCAGGTATGAGCGGGTTGCAAGTTCCCAATGCCCTGCCTCAATTGCATGCTGTGCTGCACTCGGGCGCTTGCATGAGAGTCGCTCAGGGTTTGCATGGGCAGCCCACCATCTCCGTGGAGCCATGCGGACGAGTGGTGGTCCTGCACACCCTTCCCCACCATCGATGCCCCCCGCAGGGCATGCTTCCCCCCGAGACAGCTGCGCTGGCGGCGGCGGGGTCCGCCGCACGTGGCACGACAGCCTTCCTCAACCTGGAGCCCTGGGAGGAAAGCGGGATTGCTGCGCTGCGCGCCTCGGGCATCTCGCGCGTCGTGCTGGGACTGCGCCACCCGCTCCCCGCTTTCTCCGGCGTCGCCGTCGCGGCGTTGCGGGGCGCGGGCGTCGAGGTGGACATCCTGGGCGAGACACAGGTCGGGCCGGGCGCTGCAACAAACGGGCCGGGCGCCGGCCCCCACGCCCAGGCCGCGGCGGCCGCCGGCGACGGGCCCGAGGCGCCGGCGGCGGCGGCGCTGCGCGCGAGCCTGCACGCCAACGAGGACCTGGTGCACCGCGCGGCGCTGCGCCTGCCGCTGAGCCTGCTCAAGTACGCGATGACGCTGGACGGCAAGATCGCGGCCAGCTCGGGGCACGCGGCCTGGATCAGCAGCGCCGCCTCGCGCCGGCTGGTCATGGAGGAGCGCGCCGCCTGCGACGCCGTCGTCGTGGGAGGGTGCACGGTTCGGCGCGACAACCCGCGCCTGACCAGCCGCACGGAGGGCAAGCACAACCCCGTGCGCATCGTCATGTCACGCACCATGGACCTGCCAGAGGTGGGAGAGCTTCTTTCGTTCCAGGGTGGGGGGGGAGGCTGTGCTGTGTGGGAGACCGGGGGGGGGG